GCTGAGCGTCACCTCCGGGTGCTGAGCGTCACCTCGGGTGCTGAGCGTCACCTCCCGTGTGCTGAGCGTCACCTCCCGGGTGCTGAGCGTCACCTCCCGGGTGCTGAGCGTCACCTCCGGGTGCTGAGCGTCACCTCCCCCGTGCTGAGCGTCACCTCCCCGGTGCTGAGCGTCACCTCCGGGTGCTGAGCGTCACCTCCCCGGTGCTGAGCGTCACCTCCGGGTGCTGAGCGTCACCTCCCCGGTGCTGAGCGTCACCTCGGGTGCTGAGCGTCACCTCCCCGGTGCTGAGCGTCACCTCCCCGGTGCTGAGCGTCACCTCCCGTGTGCTGAGCGTCACCTCGGGTGCTGAGCGTCACCTCCGGGTGCTGAGCGTCACCTCCCGTGTGCTGAGCGTCACCTCGGGTGCTGAGCGTCACCTCCCGGTGCTGAGCGTCACCTCCCGGGTGCTGAGCGTCACCTCCCGGGTGCTGAGCGTCACCTCGGGTGCTGAGCGTCGCCTCCCCGGTGCTGAGTGTCACCTCCGGGTGCTGAGCGTCACCTCCCCGGTGCTGAGCGTCACCTCGGGTGCTGAGCGTCACCTCCGTGTGCTGAGCGTCACCTCCGTGTGCTGAGCGTCACCTCCCGTGTGCTGAGCGTCACCTCTCCCGTGCTGAGCGTCACCTCCCGTGTGCTGAACGTCACCTCGGGTGCTGAGCGTCACCTCCCGCGTGCTGAGCGTCACCTCCGGGTGCTGAGCGTCACCTCCCGGGTGCTGAGCGTCACCTCGGTGCTGAACGTCACCTCCCGGGTGCTGAGCGTCACCTCCCGGGTGCTGAGCGTCACCTCCCGGGTGCTGAGCGTCACCTCGGGTGCTGAGCGTCACCTCTGGGTGCTGAGCGTCACCTCCCGTGTGCTGAGCATACCTCCGGGTGCTGAGCGTCACTTCCCGTGTGCTGAGCGTCACCTCGGGTGCTGAGCGTCACCTCCGGGTGCTGAGCGTCACCTCCCGTGTGCTGAGCGTACCTCCGGGTGCTGAGCGTCACTTCCCGTGTGCTGAGCGTCC